AATAGGGGTGGTGACACTCCGTATTCTTAATCCATCACTGCACGGACAAATGGTTTTCTGTGAGGCCGTGGTATCACCTTGGTCGAGCTGGCCATTACACATTCGTATCCGCATTTAAATGTATTGTATTTGCAATCTAAAGTTTCTCTGTGTGAAATCGAAACTAGAGATAAGACCGCCATTTGTAAAGTCATTTTTTTTTATGGTATAAGGGGGCAAACGAGCAGACGGGTCACCTGATGGTAAGTAACTACCGCCGCCCATGGACACCTGCAACTCAAAAGTCACAAGTGCTTTGCCGCCCTTGGAGTCCTTCCCGTTCGAGTCAGCGGGTGGGGGAATTTGGGCTCCGGTAACCTCACTCACTCAGTGAAAGGCAAAGAAAGAATTGCTTAACACCGCTTTTCTGTGAGGCCGTGGTATCACTCCGGTCGAACCGGCTCATTCGTGCCGAAGCATGGCTCTCCCACAGTAAAGGTTTTGTGTTAAATATTGTATAATTTTTTCAATCGTTTATATACAATAATGAAGTATTTTGCTGTCATAAAGAGCACAATCTGATTTCGTAAAGAATAGATGTAAATTAGTTTTATTTTTAAATATCCGCAAACACTTACCAACTGACGCTTCGAGTAGCTTGTCAGACGCTTTCGCGCATCGCGTACTGCAGTAAGTGATGGGTGCAGCAAATTGTTGATACATCCATAAAAACTGACGAGAAAGCTGGGCCAGTTGACCATAAAAGTGTTTTCCTTGTCTATGCCATTAAGGTAATCGTGTTCTGACATGCGCATGGTACATGCATGTATTGAATCCAAATGATTCTCTTTAAAGTTGTGTACGAATTTAGTAAAAATATATTTTATTATATTGGTCACGTATCTTGATACTATCTATACTTGTCTTATATTATGAAGCAGAAGAGTTTGTTTATTTGGTTGAACGCACTAATCTCAGGAACTACTGGTTCGAATTGAAAAAATCTTATAGTCTTCGATAGCCCATAAGAAGAAGACTATAAGCTATTTATTAGCTCGCCAACAATTATATACACTGGTTAACATTTAAAATACATTTTACAATGAGAATGAAGTGGTAGCGTACAATTACTAATAAACAATAATTATTATATGCTTTTGCTAAATTTATACAAGTAGGCTTTAGATACAGCCAGTTAGAACAGATAGAGCTATATAGATAGCTATATAGAGCCATGTAAGACAAAAAGAACATGTTGCAAAGAAACATGTTGCAAAAATCGGGAAAATTTATTCCTTTTGAGAGACGCTGTCGAAGTTGCGCTGGCCAGCTAGTTTTACTCATAAAACGCAGTTAAAACTAGCCTACTATTCTAGACATTTCTTTTAATCATAGACTCATGGCTATGATTAAAATAAATGTCTCTGTTTGATAAATACATATTGAGAAAGTCGTTTTAACCGACTTCCAAAAAGGAGGAGGTTATCAATTCGTCGGCATCTTTTTTTTATGTATGTTCACCGATTACTCGAAGATGTCTTAACCGATTTGGAAAATATTTTTTTTTTTTTAAAGAGAATACTCCCCAGGTGGTCCCATTTAAATTTTATTGAAATCCGTCAAGCGGTTTCTGAAAAATCAACAAAAATCTAAAAATTGTTTAGTTTCAAAACCTTTCTGTCTCCTTGGAGAAGTGCGTTTAGTTGGTCTTTGTTAGTATTATTTGAAGTCGATTCAACTTTATTGGAAAGGATTTTTTGAAAAGGCTTAAAAATATGCAATTCCATATGAAAATTGCCCTTGACCCTTGAGATAAAGTTCAAGGTTGCGATCAAGATCAATTTCAAGGTCACCAATGGATAGCCAGAGAAAATTCCTGTTACTTTTCTATTTTACGTATTTCCGAAAAATGCATCCCTAGCAAATTATTCTGCTATTATCGTAGTGTAGTTCATATTTAGTACGAACACGACGAAATATGAGATGTTTTGTAATAAAAACCTCTTTTCTTAGGAGGTCCTTTACCGTAGTGTTGCGGCTCTTCAAATTCATTTGTTTCCGAATCGTTAAAATGTACAAAGAATCGAATTTATTAATAACGAGTCATTTTCAATCTAGGCCTCTCACGTATTTAATAATGCTTAAAATTATCTGACATCCAACTATCAACGAAAACGTGTATTTAAAATTTAAAGTACTCGTATGTGAGTTAATTGAATTTTAAAATAAATCTTTGTAGGCAAAATCGCTCGTGTCCAGATCAAATATATGCTATTATACTTGTAAAACCTATGATATGCCATTACCCGGGCTTTCATAGTAACACACATAAATATGTAAGACTGTAATCGATTAGTAAATACTAAGAAATTATATCGATATCCTTAAGAATCGGATATTGTAGGAATCGTAGGACCTCATCGCTATTTTTTAGTCTGTCAGAACGTCAAACGGTACCTCTTAGATTAGATAATATACTGTAGTCTTTATACTTTGTAAAGCTAAGGGTTTTACTTCTCTGCCTAGGTATGGAATTTATATCACGTGTCAAATATAACCTAATATAGGTTTAATTTTTTGTATAAAATACAACTCCCGCATTAAGAATAAATCCTGTTTTGCGGTGGACTTTACAGACATACGTGAAACGGACGCCAAGAACACTTAGACTCAGAACAACAATTTGTGGATCACACAAGTGTTGTCCTATGTGAGGTTCGAATCCACAACACTCAGTGCAGTAGGAAGCGGCGAGGTGACCGCTTAAACCCAGGCCCCTCTTTCCCACTAGGCACGTGCCCAGGGCCCTTCGATCGATAAGGGCCCGATTCCTGCCAGATCACCAATCGAAAATCAATATTTATCACCGAAAAACATAAGTATTTCGAAAAATCTTTTTCTGTCTATTCTAACAAAATAGTGCTCAGCTAAGTTCGTAGGGGCCCCATTAAGCTAATTTGCCCAGGGCCTCCAATAGACTAGAGACGGGCCTGCTTAAACCACTACTCCTTCCGTGGAATCATTCAAGTGAAAAATCCACGTAATTACATAAAAGTGACATACGTCCCTTTTAATCTTGTTGATTTTCTATACCTACACATTAGCGATGTGCCGAGTAGGGCTTGACTCGAGTCAGACTCGATTCCTGCTTTAGACTCGCTTATTCGAATACCAATTTATTTTGATTCGAGTACGCCGGACTCGGTTCCGGCACTCGAGTCAGGAAGAATCGAATTTGTACTCGTTGACTCGATTCTGTTTAGCGATTCCATGTGACTCGAATCTAGCATACGAGTTAGGTTGACTCGCTCGTACTCGATATCTGTTTACGTAAGCAATGAAGTGACGCCTTTTTTTTTGTTGTTGGGGTGGAAAATCCCTTCGGATCTCCTGCTCCTCGGTTACTATGAGCCAGGAGTATGTGGTGATTCCACTAAAAACCAACCCGACGGCCGGCCTCAGGTGTCCTACTCTGGGGAGGGCCCGGACCATGTTATTTTAGGTCCTCCCCGAATTGACACCATGCCTAATCAGGCCCTATCCCAGGGGAGAAGAGTTCTGGACCCGAATTTCTAGACTTAAGTTCTAGATCGAATTTCCAGACTAGAGTTCTGGACTCGAAAGTCTTAAACTCGAGTCCTGGACTAGAGTTAACATTCGAATACCAAACATAGAACTCGAGCACTGGGCTCGAATCGCGGAATCGAGTCATGATTCGAATACCATATAAATCGACTCGACTCGATTCGATCCACCAAAACAGCGACTCGGCACATCACTACTACACATTATATAAAACATCTAAATAAACTGGACAAATATTAGTCTCCCATACAAATTTGAAATCCCTATTTTACCACCTGAAGGGCTCAGTTTTTAGCGATAAAAGTAGCCTATACTGTCCGTTTTCAATATTTGTTTATTACTATGGCAACATTCATGCAAAAAGGCTAGAAAACTTTTGGTTTACCATATTAATTTTGATCCCCTAATTTGGGTGATAATGGACCTCAAAGTAAGACTTGTGTTCGCGATAATAAATCGCCGTATATTCGTCCAAACTTTTATTCATCTCTATTACAAAATTCACTAAAAATGTTAAATACATTTTAGGTGTGAAAGCTAGACAAACAGACAGACAGAGTTACTATCGCATTTACAACATTAGTATAGATTATAAAAATATTCGGTATCAAAAAAATGTTTTGCTAGATTGACTGGATGTACAGATAAAATCATTATTTACTTATTATATACTTACACTATATACCTTATCCGCGTGGTGACGGATTAAGAATATGGAATGTCACCACCCCTATTCATCCCGTGGGTGTCGTAAGAGCCGACTAAGGGAACAAACTGCACAGGATAACAGCACTGTAAAAAGAAGGAATACTTGAAACAAACCCTATACCAACCCGTCTGGCCAGCGTGGTATAGTAGGCCAAAACCTCCTTTCTAAGGAGAGGCCTATGTCCAGCAGTAGACTATTATAGGCTGTTGATGATACTATATACCTAATATGAAGATATCATGAATCGATTTATCAGAAAACTTTGTATAAATTTGTCAATAAATACCTACGAATATTCTTTGGGGACTGAACATTTTGTCCTACATGATGACCGGTTGTGCAGTTGTGTCTCAAAATATAACAGACAAACCTACTTTAGCATTAATATTCAGGATGTACAAAGTTCCAGACGATTAACCATCACGGTTGTTATATTCATTTTAATGTTTGTCACAAAAATAGATTGTAAACAGAAGAAGCCGCTCCAAGAAACATTTTTGAATTTTTTTATCAAATCCACGATGTATTAAGAAAAGATGATTTCCCGCCAATGAATTTTACCACAGACTTTAAACATAGAACGAATAGAGGTAGGCAGACTAGAGTTCAAAACGTTTTTAATCTGTGGTACGATTGTGTTGTGCATATTATCCCGCCAACGGGACACGCCTTAGAACTACGACGGATAGACATTGACCGAATGCTTTGATTATAAAATATTAATAATCTATGGTATGATAGGATCCATAGAATCTATATCCAAATGTCTACTCTCCTCAGATGGAGAATCATATTCAATATTCAAGGTGTGTCCTAGGGTGGTGTCCAGACATATTGAGCAATGTGGAGACAGCATTCCACTCTCGGCATAATACATAACGTCGTTTATCAGCTTATGAGCAACAGTTTGTTGGTCTTTGTCCAGGTCTCGGAGCTGGAGGCCTAGTGATCTTCCAATGGCATCCCACTTTTCATCTTGGATCTGAAGAAGCACATCTGTTGTTACTTGATTGTTGACTTTCGTATCAGCGACTGGTTGGGATATCTTTTTTTTCTTCTGTGCGGATGAAGTGGGCTTTGGTTGGTAATCGCTGTCTGCGTCTGATGATAGTGCAGGCGAGTGACCCTTGAATAAAAATGTGTGTTAAGGTGACAAGGCCCTGTTTGTGAGATAAAAATTCGCTTTGACAGATTAGCTTGGCGAGTAAAAGAGAGATACAATTACGTAATTATCTAATCATATTTAGAAGGAGAATACAACAGACCTTCTGAAAGAGATAAAAATCCTATTAAGAGAGCAAGTTGTCAGTTTACGTGTATTTATCTTCTTTTGAACCGACTTCAAAATAATTAACTATAGGAAAAGTATAACCTACTTCAATGTGCCTAAGTCGTAATTAAACCGTATTCTCCATTCCTTAATTTTCCACCTTGAATGATATTAAACTGAAGAATAATGGAAGAAGAACACTTATTGCACCGACTCTAAATAAATACGAGATAAGAGCACTAGAAAATCACTTACCTCTATCTCTGCAGGTTCTATCTTTGGCGCATAATAACCATCGCTATCGCCAATAAACCTCAGAGCATCAAAGTAATACAAATTTGATGAATAGATTTTCCCCGTGCGCTGACATTCTTTCATCTAAAAATATAAGGTTCGTTAAATCATGGTTTTTCTCATCAGGGGGTAATCTATTTTCTGAAGAGTGCAATTCCTCCTTAACAGGTAATAAAGACCTCGTCCTAATAAGAGGCCAGCAGGAATTAACCAGAGATTAAATTGGAGATGTACTAAGAAAAAGCTGGTCAGAAGTATCCGAAACCGGCATGCATGGGTGAAAAGTTTGATGAATGTAAAGTATCGTGGGTATCTGAGGGTAGAAGGAAATTCGAGGATACTTTACCTCCCTAGCCAGAAAGCAGAAGGGACTGTGAGTCAAAATCGATTTTTGATCATGTGTAATAATCAGAGTCCTCCAAAATGTATGATTATAAAACCTTTTCTCTCTCGTAAACTATTAAGAGCTGGAATTTTGTTATTTACCTTAACGGTGTGGTATGAAGACCTTTACGGCTTATAAACAATGGCTTTTCAATAAGTTTATCGGAACCTGAGTTAGAGGGGGTGTATAATTGCCAGAAACCGAAACGGTTCCTTTAAATAACATGGCTGTTCTAGGCTCAAGAACTTGTTGCGTAACCCCGCAGCGCCACACATATAATTGAAATGTTATAGTAGTGTCTTACGCCTGATAATAATTTACTTGAGAATTCCACCTTATCCTTGCTTTGTAAACCTTGAGGTCAGGACTCAAATAACAAAAGAATGTCCCTGTCCAAGTGGCCTCTCAAATGCCAGAACCGACATACGGGTACGTAACCACAGCCTACTTGAGTCTCTATAAAGTCCGTCAGTCTGTCCTTTGTCCCATTCTTCCATTCAAGACTTGAGGTATCTCTTTGCCTAACTCCTATCCCATCATCTTTTGTTATCTAGGTGGCCTTCTTCTTTAGTGCCTTCTGGAAACGATTATATTACCACGAAGGCGTTCGCGAGGAGGAGGTTGACAACAAGAAGTCGGCCAGCCATAAAATAAAGCAGCCAAATCGTTTTGGAATGTAATAATAATTACGTCTTTCCCAAATAAAGTTTTGAAAATGGCAGGAAAAAGATGATTATTAATGATGAATTTTTCCAACTTCGTCATCAACAGACTTTAATAGTCCACTGCTTGACATTGGCCTCACCTTAAAAATGTGGTTTGGGCCTACGATACCACTCTGGCCAGACGGGTTGGTATATGGTTCGTTTCAAGTTTTCCTTCTCTTTGCAGTGCCGTTATCCTGCGTAGTTTGCTCCCTTAGTCGACTCTTACACACCCAACTTACAATACAAAGGATATCGGTATTTTATTTTTAAAAGGATCATTTAAAAAACAAGTTACCTTTCTTAGTTCTCTGATGTAACTGGTACGCATATTCTCAATTTTTTTCTTTAAATATTTTATGGTTGCATGCGCATCGAATTCTCTGTAAATTTTCAGAAGAATCTTGAACCCTACTTCTCTTTTATCTCTATTCATATATTCTTTGTGAGTCTTCTGCCATAGATGAGGCATTTCTTTGTACCTATTGAGTACAGCAAGCAAAATTTCTTTTTCTCTATTACTTGTCATCATGGTTCTAAAAAAAATTTGATTGCAAAAGAGAATAATAAAAAAACAGGAGGCCTTATCTAAGAACTGCCTATGACTTTTGATGACATCAGGTGCTAATAATTTATATCTTAGATTTTTATTTATTTGAATCTACCCTTTTTTTCTGTGCGGAACTCCCCTCGGATACCACCCACCAGTGGGTGATTATGTCGGCCTCGAACCGACCAGAAACCGCACGTCGTCTCCAGTTACCAGTAGCCGGGGAACCAGGTATACCCTAGAAAGGAAAGCCCTGGTATCCCGAATCTACCCTATTGAAATAAGTTTTGAGACATTTTCTAGACGTTCTGTAATTTTACTTTTCAAAATCAAAACTCACTAATCACTAATAAGCAGTATTTTTTGCCATTTACCTTATTTAATAATCCACACATTACACTAGTTATTGTGTACTCGATCGAGAATTATGGTTACTTCGGATGAGTTAAACTCGCTTTTAACTCGATACATACTATATTATATGGTGTTGGTAGGCAACAGAAAATTATGACCAAAAAATATTCAATAGACAACTGTTAAGTGAAACTAGAAAATGGCGGGATGAATGTCATTTTACTTCAAATATATAATGTATTCAATGTAAGAGAACTCATTTCCAGTTCTCATGAATGTTATGTGTATGAAAATATAGCAATAAAAATGTCTAACTACACTATTCGAATGGCGGGAAATCATTATTTTTCGTTTTAGCCAAATGATTGATTTGATTGTCAAAGATTTAAGAACAAGCAGTTAGAATCATACAGTACACCTATATGTGAATATCAAAGTAAAAAGTATAAGATATTTACGTTTTTATCACGTTGTTATCTTCTAAAAGAGCGCACTGCAGACTACACGGCAATATGTCGGCTCACTGCGATCTCCACTATTGCACTGGATTTTCTCGTCAGCGCACAACGTTTGCCCGATCAATAACCTGCAAAGTTCCCTACACGATTTACTGGGCCCGACATGCAGGGGTAGAGGGAGGGGGCTCCGAGGGGGATGAGTGGCTTCGGTTTTGAGTTGGGGCGAACGGGCCGGGCGTTCGGATACGGCGTGCGGCGTGCGCCATGTTATTGGCGTACATATTGTAATTTACTTTTAAATGTAACAGGGGTTTTTCGGATACTAAATTGATGAAAGTCGAATGATGAACTCGTTATGGCCATTTTTACAAGCTAGATGAGTTTTGTTCAGTCTAATAATGTGAACTCAAGTAGGGTGATAGAGAGAGACAACACAAATAGGTTTTAGTTGTAACACTGTTCTCAAAAGATACAGGACATTTAATTCTACCTTCGTCTTTTGCACCTTTTTACACGTTTTATATTAGCTTCACTTGTATGTTTGTTTGTATGTTTGTTTGTAACCGACTCCTTTGGGCGTGATTTTGACTGACTTTAAACGGTCAGAATTCGTTCAAACTTTGTAGATATATCGAGGACCGATGACAATACACTAATTTAAAATAAAAAATTAAAATAAATAATATTACAAAAAAAAAGTTAAAAAAAAACTAAAAAACACGCTTTTTATAGAAAACTTTAATAAATTTAGAAAAAAGCGTGGGGTGCTTTTTACTATTAACAACATGCAAAATGCATTAAAAAAGCGTGTTTTTTAGTTTTTTTAAACTATTTTTTTTTATTTGTAAAGTCCCACGTACATACGTAATCTAATATTTTAAAACTTAATTGACAATAATAACAAATTGTAAAATGCCGACTGAAAAATAAATGTTCTGACGCTCCAAAAATAAATTAAACAACTGTACATAGTAGTTTTATAACCGTAAAAAGCTGCAACTTTTTGTTTTTTTTACCATTTTAAGCATGTAATGCCTACTAAAGGTACTCACGTGTAGAAAAAAGTTAGTATCATTAGCGCCTTATCGCTTCTGCCCCAATCCCATAGGTTTCTAATGACCCTTTTAATTGGCACAAATTTAAGATGAGAAGATCTCGTATTTCATGAAAATACTTCTGATAATTTTAAAATGAACCTCCACTACACTAAAACCCCAACATCCTTAGATAATTTGACATAAAGTAAATTATTGAAATGTCATATAAACATATAAAATGACATATAAATAATCAAAGATTACATCTTATATTATTCTTTCGAAATATCTATTGTAATTAAAGAAGACGAGCAGACGGGTCACCTAATGAAAAGTGACCATCGCCGAACATGATCGTCTGCAACTCAGGAGTCACAAACACATCTGGGACTCGCGTGGGCGTTGATACCAGTTGTGACAATCCATAGGTCAGGGCGAAATCGTGAACACATCTCTCTGCGTGATCGGTTTTGCGTGAGCCAAGCCATTCGGCGTTGTGAGCGTTAAAGTCGCCCAGTATCACGATCTCTGCAGATGGGACCTGCTGCAGCACGGAATCTGTAGCCATTTGGACGTGGCACATCAGCCAGTCAGTTTCTGTGTCACTGTTATGGGACCTGTAGAGGCATGCATAGACGCGGGGATGGTCGTCGCTGTCTACACGGAGCCACAAGATGGAAAAGTCACGTCCTTCAAGATTGCTGAGGGTTATCACCTTTAACGTACACGCACACTCCAGCAACGAAGGAGTGGTCCAGATGATGGCCAGGGTAGGAGAGGTAGGATGTGTCCGATGGAGATGATATCTGCGTCTCGGTTAGAAAGAGCTGTCAGAAGAAGAGTCACTGTCTCGAGGTGGTGGTGGACAGCGTTGAGTAAAGGCCCCTTATGTTGCAGAAATTCACTGTTGTAATGCCTGCTCCCGCAGATATTCTGTCGAGCGTTGTCGCCCCCCAAGAATACACGGCTCAGCCCGGACATCCACGCCCACACGCATGGTGTTCTGAGCGAGGATTCTCCGTTGTTGCGTACCCCCCGGGGGTAGAAGAATTTGCAACGACGCTATCATATTGAGGGTTGGGCTCCGGAAACCTCACTCACTCGGTGAAATGCAACAGAGGTTTTCTGTAAGGCCGTGGTATCGCACCGGTCAAGCCGGCCCATTTTTGCCGAAGCATGGCTCTCCCACGGTGACTCATCAATATGGATCACATAATAGGTATATTGTACACTGAAACAATGTACAAGGTTATACTAACATAATATTACACGCCACGGCAATATTCTTTTTGTTCAGAAAATAACATTTAATGCTGTATAAACATGAACAAATTATCCTTGGTACATACATAATATGTCATAGTGCTTGTGTTGTCTATGACTCATTTGGCGGGCAAACGGTGTTATGAATAATGATTGCCTGTTTCAGAAATGAACTAATATACTGGTTGATCTTGTGGTTATTGTGTAAAATACTATTGATAAGCTATATATATAAACTTACTGCTAACCTTGGATAAGTGGGACTTGAACACAAATGTTATTTTAATTTACGTCAATAACATTTAATCTATACTAATATTATAAAGCTGAAGAGTTTGTTTGAACGCGCTAATCTTAGGAACTACTGGTCCCATTTGAAAAATTCTTTCAGTGTTAGATAGCCCATTTATCGAGGAAGGCTATAGGCTATATATCATCATAAGACCAATAGGAGCGGAGCACCAATGAAGAATGTTTCAAAAACGGAGAAAATTTATTACTATTGAGAGACGCAGACGAAGTTGCGCGGGTCAGCTAGTATTACAATATGGGCTCGTGGCTAAGTGGTAAAAAAAGTTAAGCAAGTCGTAATATATTGAGATCCGTACGTGCCTCGAAGACCACGTTAAGCAGTCGGTCCCGGTTGCCATTCGAACATCTGTGGCAATCGTTACGGGTAGTTAGAACCCTAAAAAATTGACAACAGTCTTTCTACATCACACATCACATCAACAGCCTATACTAGTCCACTGCTGGACATAGGCCTCTCCTTAGAAAGGAGGTTTTGGCTTACTATACCACGCTGGCCAGACGGGTTGGTACAGGGTTTGTTTCAAGTTTTCCTTCTCTTTGCAGTGCTGTTGTCCTGCTTAGTTTGGTCCCTTAGTCACAATTTGTATTCTTAATCCGTCACCACACGGACCAGTCTTTCTACAGAAGTTCGATATTACCTAGTACTTGGGTTGATGGCAGTCGCTGCGAAACATCGAAGTTCAGTCGTATGTTAGTAGACTTAAAGCCGAAAGCCTTTTCCCCAACCTTATTTAGAAAAAGGCTCGGAGAAGGGATGTATGTATTTATAATTACATAAATATATTTATCAGCAGTCTGGTTACCATAGTACAGGCTCTGTCTAGTTTATAATGAAATATATTAAAATAGAAAACAAGAAAGTACTAATTTATTAAAGTAAACTGATCGTGACAGAAGTTTATCTCACTATGTTTTTTTTTTAATTTGACTTTGATGACATCTAACCAGACAGCCTAACACTGACAGAGCGATCCTAGTATAATTAAACAACCTTAACAGCTGGTTAAACTGACACCGGCTTTGCATTTAAAATTTGTTGTCTTCAGATATATATAATTGTATATTCGGGTATAAATTTGAGAGAATCTTATTAATATAATAATATTTTCTTAAAATAGGTAACATTGCTGGTAACTTCCTTTTCCATATCTCACTTAACATTCTGCTCGGTCAAGGAAAACAGCACTTACGTCATAAGTCCTATTTCCGGTTTCCTTCGCCTACACAACATTGACTAATTATAATTGATGTTGTTAGCAATTAACCTACTATTCACACTCCTTCCCTGCAAATACTAGCGGAGTACTCAATCGACTGCCTCAGTGGTGCAGTGGTAGCGTATGCTGTCTCGGGTTAGGTTTCCGATTTCCAAATGTTTGTTTGATCTGCATATAGTTATTTCGGAGTTTGGCTATTTTCTATGTATTATATCAGTAGATATTAGAGTATTTTATCAATTAATCTAGCTGTCATAGTACAAGCTCTGATTAGTTTGAAACTAGATGGCGATGTGAGTCAATATCCGGAAATATTATAAAATATGATTTAAAGTGACTCT